TTTTCTCTCTTTCTCTCTCTTCTCTCTTCTCTCTCTCTTCTCTCTCTCTTTCTTCTCTCTCTCTCTCTTTTCTCTCTCTCTGTCTCTGTGTGTGTGTGTGTGTGTGTGTATATATATACACTACACACACGCACACACACACATACATATACACACACACACATATACATACACATATACACACACTACACACACACACACACACACACACATATATAAAGAAAAAAAAAGGAAGGATTTTTTTTTTGTTGTTTAAAACCGTTTATGTTTCTTGGGAGTTTCTTCCTGCCTGCAACAGGTCTCTGCCCCCTGTTTGATCTCACAAAACCGAAGAGGACGGGAGGCTGATTGGTCCTCGGAGGCCACGGGGAGAAACGGAGGAACTGGAGCCGGGAAGGAAACGATGGGAAACAATTGCAGTATTGTTAAAACAGGGGTTGTAAAAACTCGTCCATCAAAGCGCTGGGATCGGTTTGACTGGCTTGTCATTGTTTTAAAGACTTTAATGGTTGACGGAGCACGTTAAAAAAGAAAAAAAAAAGGTTTTTTTTCTGAGAATGCAACTGCAGTTAATTCTTTTCCTGCTTGGTCCGCTGCAAAGATTTAATAAGTCTGGGGTTGGTTTTGTTTTTTTTTGTCTTATGTCGGTTCTTTTATACTTCGGTTTTTGACTTCGCCGAAAGGAGGAGAGAAATGCTAAGAAAGGGCACTTCGAAAATAATAGGCTTGCAGAGTTTGGAAGGGACCTTGGAGGTCTTCTAGTCCAGCCCCCTCCTCGAGCAGGAGAACCTATCCCATTTCAGACAAATGGCTATCCAGTCTTTTCTTTAAAAAAAAAACCCTCCAGTGATTTGTCTTCCAATGATTTGTCCTGCTTTCTGATGCTTTGGAAAAAAACATCTTGACTCCCTCTTCTTTGGGGCAGCCCCTCAGATACTGGAAAACTGCTCTCATGTCCCCCTCAGTCCTTCGTTTCATTAGGCTAAACATAGCTACCGTATTTCCCCATGTATAAGCACCCCCTTTGTATAAGCCACCCC